ATTTGTGACTGAAGGTTGATTCAATCAGTTATTATTTTCATTATTTAAATTTTGTTTAACTACTTTTATAGTCATTAGATAAGATTTTATTAAATTATTTTCAAGTTGAACGAGCAATTCAATGATTTGAAATATTGATAATCATCAAATATGATCAATTAATAATGCTGTATGTCATCCCAATTATCATGCCACTCGCTATATTATATAAATGTTATCACTCATGGTGAAAAATTGACTCATATCAAAATGTATGAAAGATCAAAGCAAGATTATCTATTATAAAGAAATTAATAATGTAAAAGTTAGCAAAGAGTGACACACTCGCATTCCATATCTAGGAAAGCAAATTCCTTTAAGCAACTATTCCTTGAGTCTTGCTATGCTAACAATCTTATAAACTATAATCATTAAAACTTTGGTAAAACAGGAAACACAATTTACCTTATTAAAAATCTTTATCCGAAGACAAGAGTCAGCTAATAGCCTTCATCTTCCTCCACAAAGAGGAATTTTAAACACTCACAAGAGTGAATGCAAACTAGTAGATGGATTCTGTTCTTATTTATATTGAAATATGAAAAGAAGTGAAATTGTGAGATTCATGATCTTTATCATCGATCACTAATTATGGAATATGCACATTATAGATCATACGATCTACAACTATGTCTAAACTCATTTTGGATTGGCTAAATGTCTATACCTTTAGTTTTGCTAAATTTTTACTAAGTGATTGATATAGTTTTGCCATTTTTATAAGCTTTGATATAGTTTTATCTTTTTCTGAATTTCGCAGATTTTTTAATAAAGTTTTAATATAATTTAACCAAGTTTTACCTTTACCATTTAGACTTCTATCTAAATTCTAGATTTTGTCTAGCAACCTTATCCATATCTAGTTACCAATATCACAATTTTAATTCATCATTTTTTTCAACATAAGTAAGCCCTTCAAAATTTTCAGGTAAAAACCATTTCAATTCTGACAAATAATAGAAAAAGTTTATTTTACCAATTTGGTTTGATAAAAGAGCTTACATTTTCTCCACTTTTTGCAATATATTGTTTAGCCAGCAAGGATCATTTCACTAAAATTACCATCACATTTGCTTCATTTGTATATTTAAGTAGGAACTAATTTCACAAGAAAATCAAAAGATTAGTTATTTTTTGGTCAGTGTAGATCTAATTTCCGTTATCTGACCATTATTTTCAGAATGAATTCAAACTGATTTTTTACTTTTTTTTTTATTTTTAAAAAAAATTTTATGCTTAATCTAATTTTTTAAAACCAAGTCATGCAAATTATCATATTCAACCCAACGCATAATAATTAATCTTCTCACATACTAAATTAATTTTAAAAAATTATACGTATAGATAATTTTGCTGAAAAGATCAAGTTGTATGATCTATTAAATCTCAAGATTATGAATCTTCCACACAGTAAAGTAAATACCATTATCTATTGCAATCGTTATTTTTGTTATTTTGATTGATAAAGCTACTTTAATTGAAGAACAACAAAAGTAATGTTAGTAATTGATGACTGCATAATGAAAATTTTATAATTTACGTGATTTTCTGATCTTGTTTTTTATGAAGAATAATTTAGTATATTCAGATTGATTGGAAATGAAGATTTTCTTCTAATTACTAACAATAGATTTAATTTTTCATTTTTCAATGGTATTAATGATAGGAAAGCCAAAACATGAGCAAGTAAAAAGAATCATAAGATTAAATTTGAGTTTAATGGAGAGAAACGAATTAACCATAAGAAATGTATTAGGTAAAATATAAAATAAAAATAACTATCCTTTAAATCGTAAGGATTTGCAGGCAAATTTGCCTATTTATTTATTATAAATTCTCTTCTATTTACTTTTATAAATAATTAATATTTTTTTAAATTAATTTTATAAATATATAATATATTATAATAAGTTTTATTTTTTAATTATATATTAAAAAGTTTAAGATTACTTAGAAATTAAAATTTGTAATTTTTAAAAAAAATTTATATTAAAAATTTTATAATTAATCTTTTTAGAGTTTACTTCTAACTATATTAATCTTAATAAAATATTATAAAATTACTTATAAAGTAAAACTTTTATTATTATAATTTTTATAATTTATTAAGTAATTTTATGACTTTAATTAATGATAAAGTAATTCAATTAGTACGTAAGCATATAAATTTTAAAGAATATTTAAAAAATTATTATTCCTTAGATTGTAGAGTTTCGCAGGCAAATTTGCTTGCTTATTTACTATAAATTCTCTTCTGATTTACTTTTATGAATAATTAATATTTTTTAAAATTTTTTTTTAAATTAATTATATAAATATGTAATATATTATAATAAGTTTTATTTTTAATTATATATTAAAAAATGTAATGTTACTTAAAAGTATTATTAAAAATAATATTTAATATTTTATATTTTATAAAGAAATTAACACTTTTTTTTAACTTCACAGGCAAATTTGCTTGCTTTACAATATAAGGGATAATGATTTTGAAATAAAAACAGTGAAGGTATATATATTTATTTTATTTAATAATGAGACCTTTAAGAATTTTTTTAATGTAATTTATGTGTTTCAATCGTTTAGAATTATAAAATACTTGTAACTTGACCAGATATAATGTTTCTCTTAAATATATTGAACAAAACATCAATTATCTAAATTGGGATATAACAATTCAATCAGGTAAGGATGATCAAACTTTTCTATTATTTGATAACTAATGATATAAAAATCCTGAAATATCATCGTTCAAAAAAAATTTTATTTTAAATTAATATGAATAAACTAATAATACATGAGGCATATTTCTTATTACTAAAAAAAGAAATAAATACAATATTTCAAAGACTGTGAACCGAATCAATATAATAGACAGACAGTGAATATATGTGAACAATAAAAAAATAAACATGCAACTTTTTATAAATAATAAAAAGATCTTTTTTTAACTACTTCTTTATATAAAAATATATAATTTATTATAAAAATTATTATTATATAACTTAATAAGTGTAATTTTTTAAAAGTGTTTATTTAATTAAAAATATTAATTTTAATATATTAAGCATATAAAAAGAATTTTATGCAATGGAATGGGTATTGTAATTTCATTGTATCAATAATCAAACATAACTTTTAAACTACTTCAACAATTATAATTAAATTATTTTATTAAATTGTTTAACTTCTATAAAATTAAAATTATAATTTCTGAACTTTACCAAGTTTACAAGTTAATGCTAACTCCTTCCAGTTATTAAATAGGAAAAACAATCCTGTATCTTAAGTTTTTTTTAATACTGAGTTAAATGGTAAAAATAAAATTAATAAAAATTGTTAAAATAAATTAGTTATGTATATAACAATAAATTTATACATACTTAAATCCAATTATTGTGTTTGACATTTATTTACTTATCATTTTCTAATGTCTTTACTTTTCGTTGACCTTTGATTGTTGAGTTTCAACAGTTTGCTGTTGACGTTTTTGTATTTGTTGTTTTTGCTGGGAAACCATATTAGTAATAACATTTTTCATGCGTCTTCCACATGTATTTCTTGTAATAAAATTTTCAACATCTTGCTTATATATCATGCAACCTATTTATACTAACCTATAAATCAGCAATTAATTTCCATAACGCATCCTTTTGAGACTTTATATTACAATCAGTTGAAGTTGATTAATTGTCATCTACATATAAACACGATGATGATAATGAAGATTATTATCCTTTATTAAATATAATTTTTAAACGGGGAATTAAAGAAGATGATATCTATTAATTGATATCGCAAATTTTAAAGCTTAGATCTGGTTGATCAATAAACAAGTTAACAAAGTTAACAAAACCTATTTATATCCAGAGCAGATAAAAATATAAAATTTATATGACTATATGTGTCAGACAAACATAGCAAATCTAAAATAATTGATTATTTAATTTTATAATTAAATGTTGTACTTATAAATAAATGTAAAGTATGGAAAGAGTCATTTTTTAAAAAAAAAAAAAAAATTTCGAAATTTTCAGATGTTTGTTATTGTATGACAAATTTCTTGTTACTGGTCAGAACGAAGTATAATCAAATGTCCGAAGGATTATATATTGTACGAAATTAAAACAAATAGATTATTATATTGTTCTCAGTTTAAAATTTGATAAAGACTTTCTTGCTAAAAATATTACCATGCAATATTTTTATCCAGTCCGGAAGAAGTACGTACTGCTTGTATGACAGTACAATTTTCTAATTAATTAAACTCTCTAGATAAAAATATTTCAATATTAGAAAATAATTTAATGATCAAATATATATTACAAAAAAAGAAATATTTTTTTAAAAGATGCATTTTTTTTGGTGTTTTAGAAATTTTTTTATATTATTACATTTAGGGATGTTAACGGTCCCAAATGACTGTAAACAAATATTGATATTACGAGTTATAGAAAAGTCTAATCGCTTATCTATAATAAGTAACCCTTGATAAATAATTGTAATAATAAATTTTATGAATAACTTTTAAAAGAAATTTGAACTTTGGAATCGACAATTAACATGGGAGGGACCGCAAAGGTGGGACCCGGTCCTTAGGACCGGGTCCTAAGTTTCAAAAATTAAGGTTCTGGGTTCCCGCATAAGTTTAATATATATTTTTAATAAACATTCAATTAACAAATTATCATTAGAAAGTAAAATATAACGCCAGTAAAATAAAAGTCTTCTCTAGAACTGGCAAATTTTTGGGACTTTTAGACGTTTAGGACCGTTTAACATCCATAATTACATTAAAAACATTGTATCAACACAATTGTTATTTTGATTATATATGGATAGGACGATTATACAAAGACTAAAGATAAAAAATATTTAACTTACTTGATCGAATATGGCGAAGATGGGGTGTCCAAATAAGTACATGAAATAATATTTTAATGTAATGATTCATAGAAAAGTACATAGAAATTCCTATCGCCAGAAAAAGCAAATTCTCGAGCGCCCTTTTTTGTCAATATGAGTAATCGTCGTCATCATGTTAATCAATTTTATTCATTTCGTTCATAAGCAGAAAAATGAACTGCCTAATTTTTTGCTAACATATGAAGTTGTTTTTTCCCGAAAATATCCCTAATATAAAACTATAAAAAAATTTAGGGATCGACGATGTCTTTGGTTTAGGACACTTTTTCTTCTTTATGTTTCTCTTTCTTACGTGTCTTAGGTAATTCGGGTTTTTTTTAAAATTTTTTTTTTAAACAATCGATAAATTATTATTTGTTCCTTTCAATTTACATGATTATTCTAATTTTTATATTTTTAGTTTCTTTTCGATTCGAGACGGAGGGTCTTTTCGAGTTGCTTTTCAATAAGGCTATTATTATTATAATTTTGATAAATATTTTGTTTTTTATTA